TGATGCGAATGACAATAGTCTCCTTGAACCTTGAAGTAAAAGGATTTTCTTTAATATTGTAAAAGTAGCCATTAAACTATTATTTTTCTTATTTATTTAAAATAAATAATATTGTCTTATATATATATATATATATATATATATATATATATATATATATATATAAACGAGTAGTGAATTGTTTTGTTAAAGCATAAAAAGAAAAAGACAAAAAAAAAAAATCCTCAATAGCTGGGGGCTTTTATTTTGAAAGGTTAAAACAATCATGGTTGTAGCTGATGAGTCCAGTCATCTTCAAATGATTGAATCAGCTTTTGATGAAGATTTATTTCCCAGCAACCGAGCTGTAAAACAGATGCTGACAGATGTGGAGCAGTTGAGGAAGACGCTGCTGTTTGCTGTTGGATGAAAAGGTAAACGGTTCCATAAACTCGGGAAAGGAAAGGAAGGACAAGGAAGCTCACGCCAAACCTTATTCAAATTTCACGAATTATACAGTTTTACTAAAAAAAAAAACCCAGCATGTGTGAGATTAACAAAAAATCTTACAACATAAAAAACATCATAATCCGTTGTTGACTTCGGCATAAAGCTAATCATTAAAGTGGAAATATTAAGGCAATGTTTATAAGTTCCGAAATTACCATCGTTACCAATGTCGCGTTTTTAATAGCTTTAAACAATTTATTTGTATATACTGTGGTTGCCGATTTCTACCGAATCAAACCTTTAGTTAAAAAGATTTAACGTGCTGAATCTGCGTACGCCTTCGTATTAATAAATTAAATACATTTTCACTTCGATTCTGTTTCTTTAAGAGGTCCCTGTTGTCCTCAATGTCCGGGTTAAAGGTGTCCATTGCAAAGCATGAAAGAAAATGTAAAAAAAAAAAGGTTATTACCCTGAACTTTGTGCAGTTTGAAAGAGTTTCCTCTAGTAGTTTTCTAGATTTATTTACATGCATCCTGATGCATGCTCAATAATCATTTACATGCAATTTAAATGCGGGTATGCACACATTGTAAACAAAGTACAGATGCATGCATCTGTTGAAAATAAGATGGCTGTTTCCTAAAGAAGAAATAAAAAAGTGTATTTGGCTCTTGTTATTGAAAATGTTGCTTAAAATGTCGGCACACACTGATGAGTTGTACCTCATTTCCCTCCCTCAGGGAACACTGGTTATATTCATAACATCCAAATTTTCTGTCTTACTTGACCTTTTTTATGCAATTATTTCAATACATTGCAAGAAGTATTTTTATTCAAGTTTCAGTGATTTATTTCGAACGTTTAGCGCAAAAAATACAATTTGAATTTATTGAAGCTAGAATAAACAAAAACCTTTTAAAAATGACACTGACACCTACGTTTTTCATCAAGCTCTCAGAATGCCAGTGATGAGGAAGAGGTTTGTTTCCTCCTCTGCGGAGGAAGATGCCACGAACCTCTGGGTTCACGCTCACGTTTCTGCATCTGATCCATCCAGCGATGACGAACATCCCTACGCATCTCTGCTCTGGTGAGCTCCTCTGCTGCTCCGACACTTTTCTTTGTGAACAGATGCAAGACTTCACAACCTACATGAGGTTCCATTAAACTATTAAACCAAACATTCGAAATTTTACAACAGTTTTGATCAAATATGTCTTATTAACATAGGCTGCCTATTATGACACTGACATGAGAAAATCAAGTAGGATTTTTGTAATGTAATCCTTGACACATCACATTTCTTTGAGATCAAAGACATAAAGGCCAGCGTTATTGGACTTTATTAGTTATAACATACAACAAATACACTGCACAAATGTTTCCAGTCTGAAATTAACAAACCAGTGGAGAGCTTTTAAAAATGTATTGATTTTAATAACATTGTTCTAACGGTTTATTATCACCCACAGCCTAAAGGTAAAGCTGCTGATAAGGTTTTTATCTGTTGCTGTAGGGGAGCAGATAAGTGAAATGATCATTCAAATGTCCTGATGCATGCTCAATAATCCAGGTAGATTAATCAGATCTTCTGGATAGACTCTTCTTGTTGATATGTTTCGTCTTTTATCCAATAACCCGCGGTCCGTGCTCCGCTACCATAGTTAACCAATGTACTTCTACTTCCTGTCTGACAGGAAGTAGTATAATCATTTATACAGTAGAGCCCCCAGGAATGAGGTGGATTCACAGCGGGCTGAGTGATGCAGCATTGTAAGAGGGAAGCGAGAGAGAGAATCGTTCAAATGTGGATGGAAGCAGAGAAATTGGTATAGGAGTTGCTGTGAGGCCAATTTTCAGAAAACATGCCAAATGAAAACCTGCAAAAAATCTTCCTCCTCTCAAAATTTTAAAAGTGTTGCCATTTTTCAAGCTAGCTAAAGATGGTTATTTAAAACAGCTTTTATGTATCTTGACATTTCTGATGTATCAATGTGTAATATAAGATGATGTTTTATGGAGGAAACATATAACACGCATGTTAAATAACCAGTATGATTAGTGAACTGAATTAATGAACTGAAAATTCAGAATGGCCAGGAATTTTTAAACATGGCCGAAATTTTTTTTTTTTTTTTTTAAGTATGTCGACATCTTGATATGTATGAGGTATAATTGTGTAATGATATAATGTTTTATGGTAGAAAAATAAAATAAATCAATTTTTCTAGAGTACTATTACTGGTATGATTATGAACATGATTATATGGCACTAAAACATTACTGCAGTGGTACCATTATATAAATGTGTGTCTTTGGTAATCTAATCTTTTTTTTTTTTTTGTTGCCAAAACACATTTCTCTATTGCATATTGTCAGCCATCTTGAAAAATGGCAGCCATCTTCAAATTTCATGTCTTTTTTCCCCCATTTTTTGCTCTTTCGGCTGCTCCCTTCTTCAGGGGTCACCGCAGCGAACTAACTTGTACAAATTCTTGACAGTGGTTTTTACACCGGATGTCCTTTCTGATGCAGCCACAGACCACTGAGCTACCACAGCCTTCTGTGTGGAGCAGAGCGCTCGGGGGAGCAGATGGTAGGGGTTAAGGGCCTTGCTCAAGAGCACAGAGTGGGGCAAATGAGGGTGGAGGCAGGTGTGAGGCTGGGTGCAACATCTTGCCGCATTGATTGAGATCATGCAAATCATTAATTTCAAAGTTTAACCAAAATGACTACAACTTCCATCGTTTCTCAACACAAGTCTCTGTTTTAAAATAAACCTTTGGCAACAATCGTCACGATGACGATGTAAAACAAATGTTTTTTTCCAGCTGCCATAACGTCCAGGACTCTCTGCTGAGCTCCAACAGCAGCTTCACTGGATACAGAGGCGTCCTCAACTGGATCATTATTCTTCTGGTCAGTTCCTCCTTTTGACTTCTAAGTGTTTAAAAGATTTTATTCACATGTTCACGTGTATTTTTAATTGTGATGTCTTTCAGGTCCTGACTCATGCTCATCTGTTCTTAGAGAATTTCATTCAGTGAGTGTTAATGGAATCATTCCCTCTAAATAATAAATATTCTTCTTTAACTTTTATTTATAGCAGTTACTTCAAAGATTTCTTGGTTTAATGCAGTGTTGATTTATAAAGCAGCGTCTTGAGTTTTATCTTAACTTCAGATGTTGGTTCTCTAAACTTTTGCTGAAACTTTAGAACATTACTTGCCTAGACAGAAATTCATCACTTGATGCTGATTAAAAGCTAATTTCAGTCATTTGCAGAGCTGCTGCAACCGCTGTAAACATAAGTTACATTTTTAGTCAGAAATGGATAACAAATATGTAAAATAAAATAAAAATGGTCAATTTAAGTAAAGATGAAATGTTTGCTTGAAAAACAAGAGATGCACTTTATTGTTTTATTGCTTATTTTTGATGTTATCGTCCAACATATTTAGACAGATAAGTGATACAAATATAAAAATTTGATCAAAAATATTTTGTAAAGTTGACTCAAGATATTGTGATTACAGTCAGAATCACTTGAGGAGCAAAAATACATAATAATAATTTGTATTCTTCCTTAAAACATATTTTAAGCAAAACTTCAAACCAAATCTTGAAGAAGCTTCAACAATCTCCTCTACACTAAGATCCTGAAAGTATCCTCAGTCAGGCTGATTTTGATCTTATCATTTCTTGACTGATGATAATATTTCACTTTAAGGCATTATAGACCAGTATCTTTTAACACCAACAACTTTGCACATTGACCAGGCTCAAGTTTAGTTTCCAACAGGAAAACATTCTGAGCGTGCCATGTAGCGACATCTAGTGGTGGAAAGTTGATACTGCAACCAGTTCTAACAGGACCAAACACCATCATCATTAAAAGCATTAAAAAACCACATTATAGTTTATAGTGTCCAAATATGTGCTCTCTTTTTAAATATATATATTGGTTGGGTTTCCTCATATTTTGCTTGCCTTAACAGACACGGCTTTTTGATCGATGTCAGAAAAGTGTTGGGTCATCTGACCGAGGGCAGCTGCAACTGGCCGTCTGTCAACCTAATACTGGGTGAGGAACTGCACACTGAACTAGCAAAGATTTTAAAAAACTGTGACATTCACTAAGGAAATAAGTTTGTGTGTCTTTAGTAAAGGGGATCAAATTTGGAATTTGCTGGAACAAACACTCTCAAAAAAGTTCTAGATTAATTTTTTGTTACATTTTGTTTTTTCAAACTGGTGTTTTGTATTATATCAGCTAAAGAACCTTTAAGGCATAATGCAATAACATTGTTGTTTACTTCTAGTTGCAAACCTGTTTGCGCTGATAGCTTTCTTCTTGGAGAGGCTACAAGAAAAGGTCATTCTTCCTTCTTTTCTTCGAAAATGCTGAATTATTTGCTGAAATTCTGCTACTTTTACGTTTATCTTGGAACTTCTCAACTAAAGATACAGATCTTTGTTTCCATCAGGGAAAGCTGTCTCCCACCAGCAGCCATCGTTTACATCTCATAAATCTGGGCTTCCTTTTGCTGCTTCCTGCTGTGATCGTCGTACACGAGCCAAAAATATCAACAGGTTAGCAGGCATTAAAACTGTGACTGACACCTTGAACTGACTCACTATTTATTTATCATTTATCACAGCCATAATGATACAAACTCCTAAAACACTGTTTAAAATATTTCTTTAAAATTTACATTTGTGCCATTGAATTTTACCTTAAACTGAGGCGGTATTAAGTAAAAAAAAAAAAATTGTTTATTAAGAGTCACCATAAAGAATTCTAAATCGAATTTTATTTTATTTTTACTTCTAATTATTACATTTGTTGGCTTTTTTTATAGCTGTTATTACTAGATTGTCTAAAAAATATACACAGTATATGTAATAATTGTTCATTGACAGTACTAAGAATTTAAAACTACACCATGTTTTTTTAATCTTTTTTAATTTGACATTAGATTTTGTTTTCTGTGTCATAGTTTAACCACTGTCAAAGTTTCATTACAGCCTCACTGATTTGTTTATTGTCATGTAATGCTCTTATTTACATTATTGTGTATGCTGAAACAAATCTATGGCCAATTTGAGGTTTCTTCATATTTTTAACCTATTTTTTAATGCGACACTGTAATTCCTACTTTCATAAGTGAGTAATCCCTCCTGACTTCTTTTTGACATTGCTGAGTGCATCCATCACCACATTAAGACCTCTTTGCTTGTTTTATTTATTTATTTTTTATTGAATCAGTTTGTCTTTTAATAATAAGTAAACCAACATTGCTGTGGCAGCTATTATTACTCTGTTAGGAGGGAAACGTATTTACAGTATGTTTGCATAAATCATTTGTGTCATTTTTACAATCATCCAAAGAAACGAAAACATTTTCAATCTGAATAAAATAAAAACAACCATGAAGAAAACGGTCCCTTCATGGTCAAAAGTCTCGGATCGGTTAAATATCCAATAAATAAAGAAACTAGCTTTTCGTAGCTTTAGCTGTGGCAGCCATCTTGAATGGAGTTGACTGCGAAAGTTAATCAGATGTAGATGTACGTCCATATTTTACTCTCTTGAGAGTTTCATTCAAATCCATCAAGTGGTTTATGAGATATTTTTCTAACAGACAGACAAATGAACACATACAGTAGTCCCTCATTTATCGCGGGGGATCCGTACCCTGAAGCCCCGCGATAAGTGAAAAACCACAAAGTAGGAATAGTAGTACAAGTAGTAAGTAGTAGTTTATTTTAGTATTTATATAAATATATATGTGTATTAAGGTGTTTTAAACCCTTCCCACACTCTTGCAATAGTCTAAACAATGTTTCTAAACTCTAAACGCTCTTCAAAAAAGCACAGAATGTCATGAGTTCAGCTCTCTGCCACCTGCCAGCGCTCTTGGCCACGCCCACTTCTCCGCCTCAGAGCGGAGATCATGACATGCTGCAGGAGGGAGCTTCTCCTGCAGCATGTGAACTGCACACAGGTGCAGCAGGTGCTAAACAATTCTAAATAATTTTATTTTCAATAAAAATTTCATGCCGATCGTGCGGCTCATCCATCAATCAGCCAGTTGTGTGTCGTGTCCAATCTTATTTTTGAAAAAATGCAATAGAGCGAGTCTGCGGTAAACGAGCCGCGAAGTAGCGAGGGACTACTGTACATTGATTACATGATCGCTCACCTTTCATGACGATAAGAACGCAGTGGGAAACGCCGTCATCATCACCCTGGTTGTGTTTCATCAAAGTTCCTGAAGTTAAAATGTTTCAGTGCAGAAATGTTATTCTTTGCTCAACAGGCGGAGCGTTCTTCTCTCTCTGGTTCTACATCATTCTGGGACTGAAGCTTTATTCCTATCAGGAAACAAACCACTGGTACCGTCAGGCTCATTTAGGTACTCCTGCAGCACAGTTCTTGTTAGTGACGTAATCAGAGAAAAACACACTTGATCAACAACGAGTGTTTTCTCTTCTCGTTTAGACCAAGACCACAGCGGTTCTGTTGCACAAAACAACCCGAGTGACGCTCTGACTTTGAGAGGTGAACCTGCTTGTTTGTCGTGAGTTGAAGTTATTACAGTTTTGACATGTTTCAATCATTGTGACGTTTCCTTTGATTTCACAGATCTGTATTATTTCCTCTTGGCTCCAACTCTCTGCTACCAGAAGGACTTCCCACGTACTCCCAAGATCCGGATCAATAAGTTGCTGCACAGGCTGCTGGAAATGGTGAGCTGACTTTATGTTGGGGCGTTTTCAGCACCTTTGGGATGAGATAAAGAACATCAATATCTTCTTGTTTAATAACAAAGTGGCTAAAAATTTATATGACATTTAATTTAAAAAAAGGAACATTAGATATATTTTGATCACTTTTTTTTTTAATAAAAAAAACCTCACATATAAAAACAAGATGGCCAACTATTGTTAAATTTATTAAAGTGCAATGGGACATTTAAAATGCAGTCAATAATAATAATCAGGTCTCTCTTGTAAATGAGTCCTCGAGGCTCAATGGGATTTACCTGTCTAAATAAAGGTTGAATGAATGAATGAATGAATAAATTGGCTTTAAAATTAGCTAAGCTTAAAAAAAATCTGCTGGAAAATTACTAAGTTCTGAATGACTGATGAAATTTGCTAACAAAAAAGGCTAGTGGTAAAATCTTAAAACACCAAAAGGCTAGCTAAAAATTATATATTTTGAAAAGGTAGCGAGTAGCTAAAAGTAACAACGGCTAGCTGAAAGTAGCAAAATGCTAATTAAAAAGCATCAAAGGATTAGCTAAAAGCTGAATGTATTAAAAGGGCTAGTTAAAATAACTAAACACTAGCTAACAGCTAAACTAGCAAACAGATAGCAAAAAACGTGCTCAAAACTAAATATATCGAAAGACGAGTTAAATGCTAAAAGAAACAGGAAAGCTAAAAGCAGCAAAAGTTTAGCTAAAAGCTAAACCTACTATAGGAATAGCTAATAATAGCAACTAGCTAACAGCAAAAATAGCAGTCAGGTAGCTAAAAACTAAAAGTAGCAAAAGGATGGCTAAAGCTACAATTAATAGAATGGTAACTATAGTCTATATTAGAATAAGGAGACAAAAACAGAGCAAATATGCTAAGGCAAGGATGAAACTGAACAGATTTCCATGTGTTCATGTGCAAAAACAAGTTCATCTAGATGCATTTTCTTCCTTTAGGTGGTTGTTGTTCAGATCATGGTCGGCATTGTGCAGCAGGTACAGCAGCTTGTTGAAACTCTCTGTCATAAAAAAACAACACAATGTTTCCCCGAATGTATCTCATACATAACTGATTAACTTTTGTAATCAATCCAGTTCAGGAAATCAGATACAGTTAACCAACAGTAACAAACACAAAAATGTCATAGTTACAGATATTGAGCTAAATTTTGGAGTGGTAGTAACTGAGTAACATCCTCAACACATACTCAGAGCACACAGATTTCATATTTCATATAATGCTGTTAAAAGTTTGACCAAAACTCCTATAGCTCTGTCCCTTTTCAGCAATAAATGGTCTCAGTTTAACGTAATAGCACAAAAGGTGATGAGCAATATTCATCCCTTCTGAATTCTAGGCCTTATATTCATGCATCATCGTTTTAGCTTATAATTTATGTGATTATTACTGAGAATGCAGTACACAGCAAATGTTAAATGGGTTAGAAGTGAATGTCAGTGACAAAATAAGTGAATATAATCGTTTCAGTCAGATTTTTTTTTAAATTCTATAATTTGTTTTCTTTCTTCTTAGTGGATTGAGCCAATCTTCCAGAAATCAGATAAACCTTTTACTGTAAGTTTTGAAGTAATTCCTCGTACTTGTAAATTTTGAGACAACACAGAATTCCTGTGATCATATTTTCTAACATTTTCTGTTCTTGGACTCAGAGTATGGACATGACTTTGAGAGTAGAGCACCTTGTAGGCCTGGCGGTGAGTTTTTAAACTGATTTACGTCCATTGAGCATTAACAGAATATATATAAAAAGTAGAGATTGTGTGATGCATGTTGTTTTTTTCCTCTCGTCAGGCACCAACACACTTTCTGTGGCTTCTTCTCTTCTTTTTGAGTCACTCGTTCCTGAACTTCTGTGCAGAACTGCTTTGCTTCGGTGATCGGCATTTTTACGGAGACTGGTGGTCAGTGGCAGAGACAGAAAAGTTTCTGTCCACGGTCTTCTGTTGAACGTGAAGCTGAATTTGTTGCACATTTGTTTACAGGAATGCTACAACGTTGATCGCTTTCTGGAAGACTTGGAATATTCCTTTCCAAAAATGGATCAACAGGTGTTGGATTTTTAATCTGTCGCCATTTTGTTCAGATCACATGACAAGAACGCTCTAGATTAACTGTGTGTTTTTTTCTTTTAATTGTTCAAAGGCATGTCTACACAGAGCTGGTGAAAAGGAACATTTCTCCATTGAAAGCGGAGTTACTGGTCTTCCTCATGTCTGCTGCTCTCTGTGAGGTAAGTCTGCTCCTTCATAATAATGAGAAGCCCAGCAGTCCTAATAATAATGTGTTGCTTTTGTTTTATTCTTCTGCACAGTATCTGATTGCTCTGCCTCTGCACAGCTGTCGTCTGTGGATTTTCCTCATGATGGTATTAGAGGTGAGATTCTTCCAGCAGGTGATCATTTATGTTTCTCTTTACACAGCGGCAGTGTTGCTGTCAGCACAAGGTTTGTAAAGCTGTAGTGCAAATAGCTCAGCTCTTCACTGCCAACATAGTCGGTCAGACATGAATCTTGTTGATTTTATGTGTTTGTGTTCAGCAACTTTTTCATCCCTGTTCATTTGTAATAAATGACTATTACTGTAGAAACAGATGCGAGTAGATTTTCAACGTCGAGTCAGCACAAATTCATCCTGCAGGACAAAAAGCACAAACATACCAGCATTAAAACTGCCTCATTGTGTGAATACTCTTTTTCAGCATTTGCACTGTTGTTTTTTGTGTGCACATTTTTTGCACTCTAACTACTTCAGCATATTTAGTGTTGTTTTAGCTATTTATGTATCAAAATGCTCAGGAGGTGGATGCTACAACTAGCCTTTGTTACATCATTCTAATTTAACTTTTGGCTGGCCTTTTGTTATTTCTGATTTTTAGATGGCATTTTACTACATTTTGTTTCTAGCTAGGCTTTGTTCATTTTGCTTGTGTTTAGCTACTTTTAGTTAGTGTTTTGCTATTTTTTTAGCGTTTTGTAACCTACTTCTGTTTTTGTCCTTCTAGCTAATCTTTTGCTACTTTTAGCTCTTATTTTGCTTCTTTAGCTTTGAGCTGCTTCTTTGCGTTTGGTTTTTAGTAATCCTTTTGTTACTTTTAGATTTTAGCTGTCATTTCACTTTTTGCTTATATCTAGCCTTTTGTTCCTTTTGCTAGTGTTGTGCTGCTTTTAGCTAGCTTCTTGATAGTTTTAGCTTTTAGAAACTTCAGTTTCGAGCTTCTAGCTAGGCTTGTGCTACTATTAGCTACCCTTTGGCTACTTTTAGCTTTAATTTTGCCACTTTAGCTTTGAGTTAACATTTAGTTTGTTTAGCTTTTAGCTAGTGTTTTGCCTTTTTAGTTGCTCAGCTTCCTCAATAAATTTCAGTAAAGTCATTCAGCGCTCAGCGTTCCCTCTGCATTTGTACAAAAAATATTTCTCTAGTTATTTATGTCTTCTCACCCTCCACACCTGAAGCTCATACAATGACTTCTCCTTTCAGCTCCTGATTTCGGTGTTCCTCAGAAGATTTTTTCATGGAAACTATGGCAACGGTTTAGTGTGGCTGTGTCTGCTGCTGGGCCCCCCTCTGGCTGTCATCGCCTACTTTCATGACCACTATGTCAGCGTGCATCTCTCCCCATCCTCACCACTCACACCAGACCGCAAAGTTTTCATAAAACTTTACTGATATTAGAAAATGTTTCTGCATTATTTCTTATTTTGCTGTATTTATGAATAACTAATGAGAATGTATGTGTGCCAAAGCTGCTCATGTCTGTTGAGGATTCTTTGTGTCAGTGTCTTATAAATGATTATTATCCAAAACTACAGTATTCATCAGTTTGCTGAAGACTCATTGATGTCGACTTGACTTTATAAATGTTTTTATCTTGTGCAAAACTTGCTCAATATGTTTTTATTTGTCAGTCATTCAGTATGTCTGAGACTGGAAAAAAAGGGTTCTTCTAAGTAAATATCCTGAAGTCTATTAAAAATCACTTGATGTACACAACTTGTTTAGATTTTGAAGTGACTGAATAACTGTTTGCACTGATCCTAGACCAGTTTTACTTTTAGTCTAATAAAACGCCTGCAACTGATGCAGTCTGATCTAGGATCAGTTATGTTGCATCATTGCTGCAGAAGGTCTTGGCATGGTGTGTTAAAGATGGTGGTGAGAGGCCTCTGAGGGCCTTAATCTAGCCTATATTCAATATTAAAAACAACAATTTTTAATATTTCAAATAATTTTAGACAAAATAAATGCAAAATAATTGGTTACATTTGTTGACGGTTAAGAATAAAGTAACTTATATGATGAAGTGTGTCAAGTACATTCTTTATGAGACAGATACTTTGTATTTTAAATATTGTTTTTGTTTTTGGTGTTCACTTATGATTGTGTGTTTAGCTATTAATGCATGTATTTTATTGATAAAATTTACAAAAAAAGGAAAGGCTCAAATTTTTTTAAGGATAATGAAGTATTTATTTTAGTAAGTAAACTTTACCTTGGGCATTAACAATCTTATTTCTTTTCAGTATACGAGGACTAAACCAATATCCATCCATCCATTATTTTACCCGCTTCTTTCTTTTCGGGTCACTGGTGCCCATGCCCAACAGTCACTGTGCGAGAGGCGGGGGACACCCTGGACAGGTCTTCAGTCCATCTCAGGGACACAAAGATACAAACAAGACAAACTAGCATTCACTCACTCACACTTACTAACAATTTAGAGTTACCAATCAGTCTAATATGCATGTTTTTTCTCAGTGGGAGGAAACCGGAGTACCCGGAGAAAACCTATGCACAGAGCGAGCATGCAAGCTCCACATATGGGCTCCCGGCTGGGATTTGAACCGGTGACCTTCTTGCTGAAAAGTGGCAGCTCTATCAACTGTGCCACCATGTGGCGCCCACTTTTTATTTTTCATTTTGGCTGCTCCCTTCTTCAGGGGATCGTCACAGCTAAATATGTTGCACAAAGACTTGGCAATTGTTTTAACGCCAGACGCCCTTCCTGATGCAACCACAGACCGCCGAGCTACCACAGCCCTCTGTGTGGAGCAGAGAGCTGCTATCTAGTGCGTCCAGGGGAGCAGATGATGGGTTAAGGGCTTTACTCAAGGGCCCCCGAGTGGGGCAAATGAGGGTGGATGCAGGTGTGGGTGTTTCACCTATCCCACCCACATTTTGATGTCGGAGTTGACCCATCGATCTTGCGATCACAGGCCCTCCTTCATTAACCTCTGCGCCACCACTCCCTTAAACACCCACTAAACCAATATATGAAACAAATACAACATTTACAACTGATTTTAAAAGTTTACTTACCTCCCTGAACATTAATTTATTTCAATGTGCCTGTCCATGTGCGTATGGTTGACTATGGACTGGAACCCAGAAGTTGAAGCTGGAACAAGACCAGCTTCCCTTTCTGGTTCCAGTACAAGTTTACGTCTCGCCTCCTTCATGTAAACAAACAGGACACTGTCCTGGTTCAAATATAAATATACACCTCAGGTGATGTTTTTCAGGTGGTGATTTTTGTTTATTTACATCTTGCTGTTATATTTTAAAATGTACATTTTTATAATAAATTTAGCAGCAATTATTGCATGATTAAAATACATTTCATGTAGCACAATGATTGTGTACAGGGCAGTATGGTGGGACTAAAACCTGGTTTATGTTCTATGAGAAGTGAGAAGTTGTGTCTCGCTGATGTGGTTGCGTGACTAAAGTTACATATTTTTCTTCTTGTACTCCCCACTAAGACCCTGTTTTATGAATTGTCCCCAGACAGAACTTCTGTCCTGCTGGGGAAACGCAGCAAGCATTGTATGATTGGTCAGAACTTTATGTGCGTATTTATGTAGAGAAGCGAGTGAACTGGCGACATTTTCACTTCCAATTGCTGAAGATGAGAAGCAGCAGGCCACAATGGTCCCAGTAAAACTTAAAAAGGAAATCAAATAGATTGTCATCTTGTAGAAGGAGGTCACGGGTGGCTTTCCATGGTTGTGCTGTCTGTGAGGGAGTGCGCTTTGTTCGAACAGTGAAGGGACACATTCTTAACACTGTCTATCAGAAACAATGGTGGTCTCTTCGTGACAAATGTACAAAATGTCACTTCTCCTCAGTTAATAACAGAAATACCAGCTCTTCCTCCTTCGACTCCTCCATCAGGTACAAAGAAATCCACTTGTCAGAACTTCTCCCCTGCAGTTTCACTTTGAATATGAATGGTCCAGGCCAAAAAGACCGTCTCACAATCATATCAAGAAGATCCAATGTCTTGTGAAGTATAACCAGACTTTAAAAGCCCCATATTATTAGTGCACAGACTCTAGTTACAAAAATACAACATGACAGCTACCAAAAAACAGTTACTGCTGACTTCTGCTGGAGAGCAGGGACAGTTGGTCTATCAGGATAATATGCCTATGTCAAATATAGAAATCTATGCCAAACTTAATTTCTTAAATGTACAGTTGTTTGCCTATATGTATAAGAAAGAAAGCAAGAAAGAAAGCAAGAAAGAAAGAAAGAAAGAAAGAAAGAAAGAAAGAAAGAAAGAAAGAAAGAAAGAAAGAAAGAAAGAAAGAAAGAAAGAAAGAAAGAAAGAAAGAAAGATTATTACTCAGGTTTACAATTATTTTCGGCTTTACTATAATGTTCATAATTTTTCCCACAATCCTTTGTGTAATAAAAAAAAAAAGATCCTGGGTCACGTGGTTTTGTCACTGAGGCGGAAATGAAAGTTGTGTAGCAACAACAGCGGAGCACAGCTGACAAAGGTAGGGAAATTATCACATTTGCGCATTAGTCTTTGACATGTCAATACAAAGAATGTCCTTTGGTACGAAAAACGTAACAATAAACACAGTTCTGGTTGCTGTTTGGTATTTAGAACATAATTTATAGACATGTCCTTTCATGAAGCCCCGCTACAGAGCCTGCTGGCTAACAGTTAGCAAGTTAAGTTGTTAACGTATCGGAACGGATGTGTCCTTTGCACATTTCAAAATAAATAGAATTTTTGCTTAAAAAATAAATTTTGTATAACAAATAGAAATTATCTTTCAAGCTTGTTAAACATAATATTGGTTTTAGCAATTTATTTTATTTAATCAATTTATTGTAATTAGTTTTTAATCATGTGCTCCAGT